AAATTGAACCACCAACCTGGTGGTTCAAACTGACTTTTCCGTCCTGTGCTTATCCAACAGTGCTACACTAGGTCTCCACAAGAAGACCTAGTAATAGAGAACTATTACTGGGTTTGGAAGAGTGGCATTATCTAGCTTATATTTTAAAGGATATCTGTGGCTGCTATGTTGAGAATAAATTGGATGAAAGGCAGAAAGAAAGCAAGGAAGCCTGCTAAAAAGACCATTGCAATAATTCAGGCTTACATTAGGGTAACAATGGTAGATGTGGTAAGAAATTATTGAATCCTGAATCTATTTTGAAACTAGGGCAAAGAGAATGTTTTTGAAGGATTAGCTGTGGGTGAGAGAAAAAACGAGGGCTCAAAGATGCCCCAAGAGTTTTAGCCTGAGCAATTTAGAAAGATGGAGTGTATCATCAACTGATACAGAAAAGACAGGGGAGGGATTTGATTTTGTGGTGAATATCAGTTCTTTTTTTTTTTTGACATGTGAAGCTCGAATTGTCTATTAAACATCCAAGTGGACTTAGCAAATAGGCTTTTGGATATGCAAATTGGGTATTCAAAAGTGAGATGTGGAACAGAGCTACTGTCAGGAGTTACAAGCATATGTTGTTGTTACCTGTCATGCAGTCAGTTCTGATTCATGGCCACCCCGTGCACAATGGAACTAAGTGCTGCCTGATTCTATACTGCCTCCATGGTTGGTTGTACATTTGACCATCATATCCAGAGAGTTTTCATTGGCAGATTGTCAGAAGTAGATTGTCAGGACTTTCTTCCTAATGCTGGCAGGTACAAGGTATTTAAAACAATAAAGCCATATAAGAATACCAAGGAGTAAGTGTAGACAGAGAAGTGAACCTAGATTGAGCACTAAGACATTCTAATATTATGAATTTGGGGAGCAAAGGAACGTAAGAAAAAGCAACAAGCAAGAGAGGCTAAAGAAAAGATTTGAAGACAATGTGTTCAAGGAATTTTACTGCAGAGAAGCTGAGAAATGGGGAAAGAGGGCACAAATGAGGTTTCAAAAAGGGTGAGAAATAATAGCAGGTCTTCATGCTTATGGAATGTCCCAATGTTGTTGTTGTTGTTAAGTACCATGAAGTCGGTTCCGACTCATAGTGACCCTGCACAGGGTTTCCAAGGCTGTAAATCTTTACGGGAGCGGAAAACCTCATCTTTCTCCCATGGAATGGCTGGTAGTTTTGAACTGCCGACCTTGAGGTTAGCAACCTGATTCATAATCACTATACCAGAGCTCCTTGTCCCAATAGAGGAGGGAAATTTAAGATAGGAGTGAGACAAAGAAGAATTGTTAGAGAAGTGTTCTCCAGTAAATGAGTGGAAATGCAATCAAGTGGATGGATATCTATTAGATAGAAGCACTGCTAGCCCTTCTGTATTACCAGGCAGACAGAAAACGTTATCATGCATAGTAACATAGAACAGTAAAAAGTTAAGTACTGAGAACAAACAAGATGGCAGATCAGGTGGAAGTGCAGTAAAGAAGCTCCGCTAGCAAGAACACAGAATACCTAACCAAGCAGGCTCATGGGATGGCCCCAGAACTCTGAACCACATATAAAGGAATATTTAGAAGGTTGGAAAGCTTACAGCTGGGGAAATTTGTGGCAGAAGCAAGAAATCCATTGCTTTCTAATTCGAGACACTCAGCTGCTTGAGGAGCTGCCATCTTGGATGAGACCATGCAGGGGAAGGATCAGAGTGGCCATAGACGCCTGGAAGAAACGCAGAGATAAAGATGTGGACATTCTTCTCTTTTGGTAGCTGTTCATTGGTCCCTTGCTGTCTGCACACCTCCATTCTGGTGATGATAGGGGTGCCTGAGCTAGTGGGCACCCCAGTCCCACCGTCGGAGGGTTCTACTACACATGCGCACAGATCTCCTTGAAATTTAAAGAGACAGTTTACAATTAAAACCAAACGGCCACAGCCAGCCCTGAATTGTTTACAACTAGAAAAAAGGCCTAAACGGGTATTATGAGCGGGACAAGCAGACAAAAAAAGGAAATAAGCCAAAAATTAAATCCTAAATTA